ATCAGCTGAGATGCCTGACCTGAGCCGGCCAGACATTGCGCGTCAGGCCGACGAGCGCCCACGTGCCGGTCTGACTGGTAAATTTCTAACGAGCGATGCCAAGTCCCTTCAGACTGGGGTCACGCGTTGGCACAACTTGGCCTTTGAAGCAGTGCGCCGCTTTTCCTACCTACACGAACAACAGGCCCTCCAAGTGCCTCCTTGTCACAAATGCGGGCATCGCATCGCTGGAAACTCATGGGAGACTCCATATGCGTAGCCCTTAACCTTCATTGGTCGACACCTGAACATCACCATTCCGACAATTAGGACGTATAAACCGGGTCTTGCCGCATCCGTGGTCTCCATACTGCCTTCGTAGCACCACCACTGCACATTTTGTGCGCCGACTTCCACCATGGTCCGACCTCTGGCTGTCGTTTGGGAAACATGGAACATATACACACCCGTCGAGCGCCGGAACATCGCTATATACATCGCCGGCATCATGATGTACAAGTTTGGACTCGAAGCATTCAACGGATCCGTCATCGCGCTCGCAACAAACCGATACGATGAGCTGGAGAAGGCTACACACGTCTCGATTACATTCCAGCGCGTCGGCGTGTTGACGGGATTGAACCAGGCCTTCCAATGCATAGGATCGATCCTGATTGCGCCTCTCATCAAGAGGTATCCGACAAAGAACGTTCTGGCTTGTGCGATACTCATATTCGCTCTTATGAGCAGTCTGTTGCTTATTCTGGATGCCGCAACTGGTGGCAGGTTTGCACCGCGCGGGTGGCCAAAGGATGACTTTAGCTACTATGGTAACTACAATACAGACGCGATGATACCCATCTGTAAGTATCTCAGCATTTTCCCTGAGAAACCAGGGCGAAGTGCAGACGACAGGGTCGGATGCTGGCGGCGAGCAATGATCGAGAGTTGACACTACTGGCAGCTGATTGGACACTGGTTTGCTGACATGACCTAGATTGTGTCTGCGGTGTAGTTTACGGCATGGTCGAACTGATTCGACGCGTCATTCCACGAGATCTAGTAAGCGGCAATCTTCAAAAGCTTCGGCGAATGGATTCCCTCGTTCACATCTTCTACGAAATCAGTGGAACCGCAGGAGCTTTCTGCACAGCACTTGCGCTCATCCCTCGATTCGGCAACAACTTCAGCTTCATCATCACACCGATATTCTTCGCAGTTGCATCGATACTTTGGTATTTTATCCAGGAAGCTCGCATACCGAAAGAGAGTAGCATCCCAGAGCGCCAGCCGACGTACTTCAAAGCCGTCATCAGCGGCTTCTATCTCTTCTTCGAATCGGTCGCAACCGGCGCCAAGATTATATTCACCCACCGAAAGTTTATCTGGCTGCTGCCCGGATATGCTTTCGCGCTCTACGCACACCGGTATCTTGAAAACTCGATTGCGCCCGCAGTGGCGCGCCGGTATTTTGGAAACTCAGCCTGGTCGCAAATCATGGTAGGAGGATCCAACTTTGGTGAACTCTTGGGGGCTCTGTTTGTCTTCATCTTCACGAATCTAGTACACACACCCATGCCGTGGCTCCGAATCGATGCGCTTGCACTGCTTATCGTGTGGTATTTGCCATATTGGCACCCCCCTCGAAACGACGTCGCTCAAGCTTGGATCGTAGGAGCAACGTTTCTCCCCATCAGTTTTGGATGGGCTGCTGGTGATGTGTCGCTCGCTGCCTACATCCAGGCATCGCTCGCTCGCATTGAATCGAAAATGCAAAACGTCTCCGCCCTGGGAGCTGTAATGGCGTTTCTCTATAGCACGTATATTGTTACCTACGCCATCTCGTCTGTATGCCTTGGCACGTACATCGACCGCATATCCGACCGCCACGACGAGCAGATACATGTGGCTATCCTGAATGTGGCCGGTGTGCAGTTCACCATCATAGCAGTGTTGGTCATGACGAGCACATTTGTACCCAAGGGCGCATTCTCGTTCAACCCGAAGATGCTCAGCGAAGAGAATCTGGATGCTGACATTGACGATGACGATGACGATGACGATCTGGAGGATGAGGACTTGGAGTGGATACCGGGAGTTCAGGTCAAAAGCAGAGAGAGCCATGAAAGTCATGAGATGGTGAGTAGGTCAGATAGTTCCAAATAACGTTGCAATGTCTGGATGGTATATTGGCAAATATTCGAATTGCTCCCCCTTGTGCGTACTATACTTGGGCAATATCGGATGTTTGCATACGACGGAAGATGACGCCTCGGTCGACGGCACCGTATCGGACGCATCGACTTTGGCAAGGGTATCGGGAATCTCTCCTCCGCCACATCCAAGACTTTTGCGCCAAGCAGCCGAACGAGGAGATTGTCGTATAATACAACGTGTGCAACCTTAAGCGGAAAGTGCTCGTCTGCCCTCAGGCATACACGACCTTGGGATGAGATGCCAAGAGATGCAAATCTAACATGTCAAAGTCGAGTCATGAATAGTTTCTAGGTAACAATTCCATGTAACAATGCAGTAATACTTAGCTAACTAGGTACGGTTTGAGGAGCATGGTCCCGTGCTAAATATACAATGACATACCACACGTGGTCTCCATCCCGCAGCTTATTGATCCCTCTGCAATGGGGGGAATTGTCGGCCGTCCCACATAAGCACAAGACGGCAAGCAGCAGGCAGCTTGGCGATGGTGGGGCGCGATTGATTAGGATCCATGGCGGAAAGTCCAAGAAACCACGGGAGGAATGTCACTTGATGGACTTGTCTTGACTTATGCGTGACAACCAAGGCACTGGGCGGCCGGGACTACGACAGGGGCAGTGATGATGCGCCAAGAGCAACGTGACCCCAAGGTGTGGTGTGGTTGGCTCCAAGACGCCTCGATGCACTTCCAAGTCAGCAAGCAACGCAGCGTCGTCGACTTTGCCAAGCAAAAGCTTCGCTCCAAGTCACTCTCATTGCGACGCCAGTTGCTTTTAACGGAGCAACGCAACCATGGGCGGGAAAGGTGATGCCTCGACCCATGAGTGAGGCCGCACAAGCTCCCTCCCTCCCTCCCCGCCTGCGCCTGCGACGTTGCCCAGGTGCTGTGCGTGCGCAACTCAGCTAATCAAGCTCAGGGTCCCCAGAGTCTTGGGGTCGCCTGTCCTCTTCTCACGTCCGCGCTCGTCCTTTGTTGGCGGCCCAGTCCTTGCTCTTGACGTGTCGTATGGGTCGTGTGCCCAGTCTGACATAGTTATCCCGCCTGCGCCTTCGCCGCAGCTTCCGTAGTACACTAACTGTACCCAACTATCCCGCTCACGCCGCATCCTACACCAACTTGTCTGTTTTGGTCTTGCCGCTTGATGCAGCATGCAGCCCTATCCGCCACCAAATGGCCCGTCCGATAACGACAGACATGAAAGGTGACATCGGGGTCCGCTGAGTCGGACGTGCCGCACTTATTCCAGAAGAGAAGAAGATATAGTCCGTCAGGGAGAGCGCCAGCAACAGCAGCAGCAGCAACAGCAACAGCAACAGCAACAACCGCATCAGCATCAGCATCAGCATCGAGTACAACAAGTACACCAAGCACAGCAGATACAGCAAATTCAACCATTTCAATCACAGCCGCCGCAACATGCACAACAACGGCAACCGCCACCACCACAACTAGCAATTCATCCCTCAGCTCCACTGCAATCACCCTCAACTGCACCACACTCCGTCATTTCACCCACCGCGTCTTCCATGAGATCATTGTCAATAACAGCAGACACCGCAAGTACAATCTCCTCAAGATCCTACGCCTCATCAGCCCCACCAAACAAAGTCGCAATCTCTAGACGAAGCAGCAGCATCGCCACAGCCGACACAAATGGTATGCAAATTCGCTCTTCTCTCGTCATCCCGTTTCACCTTGATCTGCCCATCCAAACCCAAAATCCCGTGACTTGCGCGGATTTCTACCCGAGCATATAAAATCCCAAAACGAACCTCGGACCGAACAGTGACTAATTCGTAAGAAAACAGGAGCCGGTGGCGTGACCACACCCCAAGCAGACCTGTTGGCCTCGAAATCAAACTATGAGCTCATTTCCTCGGGCCAGCACCTGGAAATGGGTTTGCATTTTAGTACCGCCATGGCGACGGGGGTTATGATGAAGCGGGCTACGCATCGTGCTGCAGAGCAGGCTCGTCGTGACCGCATGAAGACTGCCATGGTTGATCTGGCAGAGTTTTTGCTGGATGGCGAGGTTACTTTTGGTAGTGGGACTACTTGTTTTGTTATTATGAGGGGGAGAGATGGTGAGGATGGGGGGGAGAAGATGGATGGCGGTGGTAATAGTGGGGGTGGGGGTGCCAAGAAAAGTGAGGGTAGCAGTGTACCGGGAGAGAAGAAGACTGTGAATAAAGCACGGTTAATAGAGATGGCGTTGGAGAAGATGAAGGCGCAAGAGAAGGAGATTGAGCTGTTGAGGAAAGAGATTGAAGATTTGAGGTCGGTAGATCGGATGGATGAGTCGTGAATTCTTCCTGAATCTACAGAAAAGGAAACGACTCTACAGAAGATGTCAGAGGAGGCTAGGTGGGTGGTTTACAGTCTTTTCAATTTCCCTTTCTTTTGTTCTGCCCCGTCATTTGGTCTTGTTTTGTTTGTCAATTATTCAGAGATATCCATCATGTTTAGGGCGTTTTGTTTTTCATTTCCCAGTCACGGGCACGTGAAGAGGGTATACAATCATTACAAAAGTCGACGCAGCCACAGAAGTTCGTCGCTAGCTGGCTGGCTAGTAACAGTACAATACAATTACAGGTGCTGAAATCTAAACTCCTTTTCTCGCTGACTGCGCCCCACCTGGATCGACAATGTCGTCTCATGCAATTTTATGGGCATATCCATCAGGTCAGGTCAGGAGAGGAAAATTACATGCCGGGTGCTGACCAACCGGTCCATTTCTGTTTGTCTACCTGGATTATCCATGTCATGGTGCCAACTGCCGTAAGATTACCTATGCGGCGGGCGGAACTAGGTATCACGTGGCGTTCTCACGGGGAAGGCTGGGCGTGTTTAACATCCGGGCATCCTAGGCTTGGGATTTGCTTGGCCGAGGACCCGCTCCCGCGAAGGGCAATGCTGGGCGTTATTCTCCTTTTAGGTTGTGGGGAGGAGGCGGGTCTTGGCTGGGTTTCTTGGGGGGAGGGGGGTGGGTTAGGTAAGCGGTGGTGGGTCGGATGGGTGGGTGTGCTTGACCGGTTGAACGATAATGGTATTAGAAACTTTTCAGGTATTGAAGACCCGTTTATGTGACTTTTCCTATATAATCTCCCTTGTTTTACCCATACGGATCTAGGTTTCATGACTTGGCGTCACATAATTATCTACTCTCGTTTCATCCTTTTCTTCGTCTTCTTCGTCGTCTTCTTCGTCGTCTTCTTCCTCTATACACCTGTGCTGACATTCTGACGTACTCCCGTCCCCTTCTCGCCCCCATCATCAGCAGAACCAACATGGCTACTCTCCACTGCACTCTCCTCTCCCTCGGATCTATCGCTAGCCCTCCTCCTCACACGTCCCGTATCGCCCGCATGGCCCTGCGTGCCCACTTTGAGGAAAGGAACAAGAAGCAATCCCGGAACCGCACTAGCGGCCGCGAACCAAAAGACAGCGGCATAGGGTTGGATAGCATTGTTTGCATAGTAACCAGAGGTAGCAGGGCTCTTTTTTACGGCGTCAAAGATGGCGGTTGCAACACCATAGCCGACGGAGGTGGCGAGGCGGGTTACGGTTTGAAGGAGGGAGCCAGCGATTGATTGCTTGTTTAAAGGCATTGATGACAGAACGTACATCTACAGATACGGTTAGCCTTTTTGTTTGAATGGGGAAAGCGTGGAGTGAACGTACGTTGGCAACAATAAATTGAAAGTCCACGCCAATTACACATAGGCACAACGCAGGGAAGGAAAAGGCCCAGTAAGAGTCTCCGGTCCGTTGTACGGCGGCAACGGTGAAGGAAATTACTAATGCGGCGGCTCCAGTGCCTGTGAGGAGCTTGTTGGACACTCTGTGTTGAACGGCGGCAGCGGTGAAGTTAGCCGTCAGACCACATACAACCATGGGGAGCATGTGGACGCCTGTTAGGATGGCGTTCATGTGAAGTTCCACTTGGAAGTAGAGTGCAATCCAGAAGTTGAAAACGGGGAAGCCGAGGAAGCCGAAGGAAATAATTACAAAGAGCTATTCAGTGGTGTTAGTGATGAGACTTGGAACGTCAGGATATAAATGACTTACCAGAGAAAAGTCCTTATCAAGCCAGATCTTCATATCAATCATGGCGTGCTCGTACTTGATTTCCCATACGACAAAGGCAGCGATTAATAGAATACCGATGATTAGAAGAACCAGAACGTAAGGTGTTTTCCAACCCTGGGGTGCGTCTCCTCCAAGACTACATAATTTGTTAGCACTTGACCCACAAAGTCCATGTTTGGAACGTACCTCAAAGCAGCACAGAACATGCCAACGCCGGCCATGGTTAGCAAGGTACCTGGTAGGTCAAGCTTCTTCAAAGCCTGTTTATTGAACGTCTGCTTGGGTATGGTATCCCTGGGCACTGTTAATGCCGCAACGATACTTATAAGCAAGTATGTGATAGCCAATAGAAAAAAGCAAGCCCTCCAGTTGAAGATCTGGGTAAAAGCTCCGGCGAGAATCGTGCCAAAGATGAATCCCATAGGACTCCCTGCACTGTAGC